GTTATTCTTTCCCTTGCTCTTTCTCAAAATTAGCACATCAAGCAAGTGGATATCAATAATGCTTTCCTTAATAGGATTTACATTAAGAAGTTCTAATGGTTCAACCACCTAGTTTTATTTAAGGAGATGGATCTCATGTCTACAAATTTCATAAAGCATTGCATGGACTAAAACCAACATCGAGAGCTTGATTTTACATACTTCAATCACTTATATTTGAACTTACATTTTCATAAGCTAAATGTGACCCATTATTGTTCATGAAAATTATTCCTTTAGTCATTATTATCACTCTTGTATGTGTGGATGACATTATAATCACCAACTCCTCATTAAGGAGATCTCTTGTCTAACTTCAACAATATATACAAAATTTTCTCTCAAAAAACTAGGTGAATTCAACTACTTCCCAAGTATTCAAGTCAATAAAATATCTTTAGAGGAATTACATCTCTACCAAACTAAATATATTTATGATCTACTACAAAAAGCAAATATGCTTAATGCAAATTAGCCCGTGAAAACTCCCATGGTATTGGGATTAAAACTTTTAGCTCAAGATGGTTCACCTATTAAAGATCCAATTTTGTACAAGTCAATTGTTGGTAGTTTATAATATGTCACTATATCCAAACTAGATGTAGCCTTTATTGTTAATAAAGTTTGTTAATTCCTGCATTTTTGAGAAAGTTCATATTAGCAAGTTGTTAGAAGAATTTTAAAGTGCCTTTAAAGGAATTAATATGTATGGTTTAACTTTTACAAAACCTTCAAATCTCAACTTGACTACCTTATGTGATGTTTATTGGGGTTCTAACCCATATGATAGAAAAACCACTAGTAGCTACTATATTTTTCAAAGCTCTAACCTAATTGCTAGGTCTTCAAAGAAACAACATGTTGTATCTCATTCAAGCACAAAAATACATGAGCACAACAACTGTAGAACTTATTTGGATTGAGAATTTTATACAAAAAATTCATGTCACTACAACAAAATCACTTATAATATATTGGGACAATATTAGTTTCGTTCTTTTAGTAGCAAATCTTATATCTTATTCTCGTACTAAACATTTCTATATTAAATTATTCTTTGTTTGAGATAAGGTTCACTCCAAAAGTCATAAAGTTCATCATCTAGTATCATGTTAACAACTTGTCAATATACTAACTAAGTTTGTCTCCCAAATTACTTTTCAGAACTTGAGAAATATATAAACTCAGAATGAACAATCTTCACTTGTAAGTTTGTGTGAATGAGAAGAAGTGTAAAGGATAATTGATTCTACAAAACTAACTTTAATATATTATAATTAATTTTAATTTTAACTATTATAATTTGTTTCAGTTATTAATTGTTCATAAATATTGTAATATATATATACATATTGTTGGCATATCACTAAAAGAGTAGATTTTTTGTAACATAAGTTATGAAAGCAAAATTTCTTTAATAACTTGTCAATATACGATTGAATAATAACTTACAGCGTGTTAAAAATACTTTTTATCGCCGGTAAAATTAAATTCTTTAATAACTTGTCAAAATATGTACTCTCTTTGTGGTAAATTAAAGTCAAAGCTAAATTGTTGTGGTTCAAATACTTCTCTTTGCATTTAATTTTTAATTTAATAAAATTATATGAAAAAAAAATACTCATCTGTCTGTTAGCATACAATCATCTATAATTAACCATATTTCATCATATTAATCCAAAGAGTGATAAAATTTCATGAACATTACCCATGTATTTTACCTCATTTTTTTCACCATTAAGTTTAGCCGTCACACCAAACTTTCCATATCACTTGAGGAAAGGAAAGTGTATGATATGTGGGGCAAAGTTGATGTGAATGACATTCCGGGGTGGGGGTTGCAGGGTGCGGTATGAGAGTGAAGTTGGAATTTGAGGTGAGTCAAATTTGGCTGTCTCCCTCCAACCAATGGCATTGGTAATTGGCACTTTCCGAGACAATGCACGTCGCAAGAAATATTGTCATTTTCACGATAATAAAAATAAATGAGAAGTCAGAGAGAACATGTGAGATAATAATATCATTTATCTTAAAACAATATCAGTTATACGAGAGCTTAAACGTGAATTAGATTTTGCAATTTTTTTTTAACACTTACTGTCACTTGATTTTAAAGCCCGAATCTTACTGCTTTTTTTCTTCTTTTGATTCTTTTCTTTTTCTTATTTTTAAAGGATTATTATGCTTTACTTGACTTAGATGTGTTTATTATTTTTTTAAAACTTGAAGAATAAGAATAGTAATTAAGATGAGATTATTATAATTAACAATCTTTTAGTTGGATAAATTGTTAATTCTTCTTTACATTTGTTTTGACAATTCCTCCCAGAAAATAAAAATGAAAAAAGAATAGGCATGAAGCAGAGTAAGACTGCCAAACAAAAGGATGATCAATTTCACAATAAAGTTATAAAATATACAATGAATTAAATTGATGTTTATTTGTGTTGTTTTTTCTTCTTCTTCTTTCATGCTTTGCTATTTTTGAGCTCTTGGTGGAAATGTTCCGAATGACAATAAACATATTATTCAAGATGAAGTAGCAATTTAGGTGGTGGAGAATTAATCCTTGTTTTTGGTCAACGGTGGAGAACTAATCAATACTTTGGGTTTCATGCTTTTGACAAGTCATTCTTGGCCAAATTGATGTGGACTATTGCTCAAGTTTGGAATTCCTTAATGAAGAATTACTTTTAATCATTTTTACCTGTAGCTCAAACTAGGTTTGTGGAGGTAGAGAAAACAAGTTGAACATTTTAATCATTTTAATGTTTTATTATAAATTTAGCTTCTACAAGTAATTTTTTAGTTCTAATTCTTACGTGAAAATATTTTTGGTTCTTATATGAAAAATCATTTGTAATTCAGGCTACATCGTTTATTAAAAATAATAGTGTTAAATTTAGTCTTCATATGTTTTTTGGGTCAAGATATCATTCTTCATTTTTATTCTACATAAAAAATAAAAGCTATATAACGGGCTATAAATATTCTTTGCAACATTTGTTTTTTATTTTTGGTCCAGCTTTGTAAGGTTTGGTGGGTGCTCTCTAGAGAAAACAATATGAATGGGCCTTTTTCACAAGTTTATACATCTACACATTACATACTTTTGAATGTCCTTTTCTTGCTGACAAAAACAAAAATTTCCTTTTCTTTATCCATACTATTTTATTTTTCGGTTTGTTAATCCTTCATAATCATGGTTTTGAACGTATGCAACAATTGGCTTTCTTTCTACATTAGTTTTGGAGCCATAAACTTTGGTGCATAAAGAATTCAGTGTGCATGTTGTTTTTTGCTCATAATTGATGCCAAACTTGTCATCAGTCTTAACCTGATAGCAATGGAAAAGAAAATTTACTAATAACGACATTGTGGTTATTACATAACCGTATAACTAAGATCAATGGACTTGGTTTTAATAGAGTCAAAAACTTTATGCATAACTTGTTCTGATATTACACCAAAATCTAAGAAATACGTTTGATGGAAAGCAATATACATTTTAATCATATATACAGTGACATATCAATATTATTTAAGAGTTTGATATTGTTAGTTTCCAATAACTTAAAATTACATGAACTTAATTAACCGTTTAATAAATGGAACTGTAAGATCAATTCAACCTAAAATTTATACTATATACAATAAACAGGTAATGAATATATAATATTTTCGTTTACGAAATTTATCTCACATTCCACCTCTTTCTGTTTCTCTCTTTCTCAGCAAATTCTTGCCTACATGTGCTCCGGGTTCGTGTGGTTCAGTTTAAAGTTCGTATGTTTTATTATTTTGTGGGTTGTTGGAAAAGGAAAAGAAAGTGTTCAAAATATGCATTATCTTTTTAGCATATATCTTTCTTATTTCCTATATATATATATATATATATATATATATATATATAATTACGCCCGTTTAATACAAAATCGACTGTTAAAAATTTCAATATCAAATACAAAAAATTTAATATGAATATAAAATTTAAAATTCATGAAAATAAATTATAATGACGATTTAATAGCAATTTTATGAATAATTTTATAAAATTTGAAATAAATAATCTGGTTAAATCAATAAAAATAATTTTTTATGTTAAATTATAGTGTAAGCTAGTTTTACACCGACCTAATCTAATCCCTTCTCATATAATAAAATCTCAACCTCTAAACATTTTCCACCAGCTAATAACTTTTTATAAAATATAAAATTAATAACTAACTCTTAATTTGAAAATTTTTAAATAAATCAAACAAATATTTTAACTTCATCTGGATAACTAGTCGCAAAGAAGACCAAATCAATATGATGGGAAATTTTGTCTATATTGGTTTTGGATAACATGACTAAAATATAAAGAGCACGGCATATAAAAAATACAAAGCAGACCCATTTAAGATTGACCTATTTAATTAGTATTTATAGATCAATATAACATCATAATTTTAGAAACAATATAGTAAATTCTCTAAAACATTAAACTGAAAAATTCCTTGCCCAATTTGAATACCTTCAAATAGTTCAGAAACTACCGGGGCGGACTAAGTTTACATGTTTTCATCAAAGAGGATAAATAAAAAATCAGTCTCAAAATGACATATTGCAAAAAGGTGCAGCCTATGTAGGCAAAGCTCAATTTAATTTAAGCTATAGTATTTTTACCCCTAATCGTAATCATTGATAAATAAAATGGCGCCTGAGGAACTCTTATGCTAATCAGTTAATCCACGTCCTTGCATAAGTCCACCTCTTATTCTGTACAGAACATTCCGCTTAAAATCAAAATTTGTCTAACTCTGACTGCATATACATGATAGAGATATCAACAGATACATGTCTAACTTGAAATAAAAAGATTCGTGTAAATCCTATTTTATCATCAATGTAAAAAAACCACGATAATATTTTCTTTTCTCTGACCTCCATGGGGGCATTCCTTTAGACCTGCTTGAGCTCTTCAGACCTTTACACTGTTGTTTGATACAAGCCCAGCTTCCAGGTGCTTGCCATTCTTCAATTCGAAATTCAGATGTCCAATCACTCCTCTGGCTGAAACATAGTGTATGTTGAGCTGGTCTCGGTCTTTGTAACCTGCATAACAAACCAGTTGTTATTGGTAAGGTGAATCTACAAGAATGTGATAAATAATTCTTATCTTACCATATACAGTCAGTCACCTTTGGCTGAAGGGAGAGAGATATATCAAGTGTTTCGTGTAACAGATGATTTTGAATTGAACAATTATTGTCCCTGCCAGCTTATTATAGTCAGACAAAGTTTTACTGCCATAGGGGGCTGCTTTTCCTCTATAAATTGTTAAATGATAATTAGAAAAATTTTGGTAACCAAATCTCCAGGAAGTAACCGAGGTCTAGAAATAGCAGTAATCTAAAATTGCAACTATCTGGCTCTGTAATTTAAGACTTCATCCATAGTTTCTCCACATATTGTCAAATGTCAACACGAGGAGAAATGAGTCATTTCTGATAAGGTCCAGAAAAAAGTGATATGAACTCATCAGCAAATAATATTTTGCTAAAAATTACATTCATTGTATGGATCCAAGAGAACAAAATAAATTTGCTGATGCAACCTTGTCGGCTAAGCACAGGAAAACAAGACTTCATAAACATCTAACCATCAGACTTAAAAATTATATTGTGATAATAATTCAAAAAAGATATCAATGAGAACAAATTAATACACACACATCTTTTTTTCTTAATTTAAATGCTGTTTTTTTCTTTCTAATTCGATGAATTTTTAACTTTAATTTTCAGTTGGACATGATCTATAGTATGGATCATTATTTACAAGTACGTGGCACTATTAAATAAATTTTCATGGAATCTCAATCGTCCAAAAGAAAGTAAAAAATTAGCCATCATACCAACCTCAGCTGTACGAGAAAGGCCAGCAGGAAGCATAGGAGCAAGAGATGTCCAGAGAACAGGATCTGCCAATGGATCAACAGTGTTGTAGGCTGTCAAAAGCGGTGCAGACAAGAATGGCATCAATGGGTACACATTTCTTTGAAGAGACATTGTCCCACTCATTCCCATTGTAATGTCAAGCCGATCACTTCCTCCATCGTGATTAGAAAGTTTCTCAACTGCCTTTCCATGATCCAACTTATTGACTGTATTTTTGTTTTCATTCTCATCATTATCAGTGCTATTCTCCTGTCTCTTTGATGCTTTCTCTTGCAAGCTCTTGTAAGCAGCAGATTGTGACAAGACACTTAACGCAGAGACTGAAGAACTTCTTCGCCTTTTCTCATCGTGGGGCTTGCCTAATTGTGGCATCTTGTAAGGTTCTGTGGGTTGGACTCTCTGTTCCAATTGTTTGAGTTCACTGCAAATATCTCCAGCAGAACCAAGTTTCTTTTCTTCTGATAATCTTGTTCCAGTATTATCAGGTTGTCGACTCTTATTAGATCCCCACCATTTGATGTGACTTGTCAAATCGATCTTTCTTTCTAAGCAGAAACCGCTTACATATTCACTTTCAGCTGCGGAATCTTCCCCTGCAGCTTTAATGTTGTAAAACAGTGAGATGATAGTGGCCTAGCAGATATAAAAGGTGGAAATAGTTGAATACTACTTTATTTTTTCAATAGCCATAGATGGTGCACAAATAATGTAGTTCATATAACTGTTCAATAGAAGATTAGCTTAAACATAAAACTTCATTAGGACGTACCATAATGTATGCTATTGAAGTAATCAGATCCCGCCATTCGGCCATATGATGGCTCCCATCGACTAAAGTTTGGAACCGTCACATGCAAAATGAAATGCAGAGTCAATTTTTACAATCAAACCCATGTTAGAATATATTGGATGACAGCTATACCAGATCATAAATAACTGTAGTCATGTAGTAAGCAGAGAAATGCAAATTCAGCTGATCAACAAAGAAGTAGCTTGACACACAGACTCGCACAGACTCAGATGTGAATATTGATAAAAGAAAAATAGATAATTGTCAGACAATTACAGTAAGAAAAGAATTGATGGATTCACACCTGGAGAGTCCACGATATTTCGATAGTCCTCTTGAAAACCCACTGCTCTTCCTGCAGAAAGCATCACATGTCAGCAGCAATATGGACACAACACGCTAAATATTTGACAGCATATATACACACCGCCGTAAAGATGCAAGGTACTCTTCTCTCGAAACATTCTGCATTTCTTCAAGATCTCTCGTGTAATCAGTCACCTGCAGCGCACAGATCAAAAGTACTAAAAAATTTACGACTACATTTACTAGGAGAGAATAGCTAACACCTTTTTCCTATAAAGAAAAAAAAAGCACTGCATTTATTTCATAGTCTCGAGTGTCAAAATCTAGTTACCACCAAAACATTTCCATCTAATGCAACTAACATCTTAGGCCAAAAGGGAATTATAGATACTCCACAGATATAATACTCGATAGTTAATATGCAAAAATGGAGGCAACTTTTGAGTCACTGCTAATAAGTGGCTGGGTTCTAATTTCTAACTTCAAATTCAAATCAAACCATCTCCACAGCATTTTTTTGACACAAAACACGACGCACAAAATATACAGACATCATTTCCTAATGAGACAGCATTTCTCAATTAACTTACCGGAAAATTAATGAGAGTTCCAGGACCCCAATATTTGAGAGCAGCAAGGTCATATGCTCTAGCGGCAGCTTCCTCATCATCATATGCCCCTGTCCAAAAGCCACCACCAACAAACACCATTCCATTACCAGCAATAACAACGATTTCAATAATAACATAATAAAAATAAAAATAAAAGGCAGAAGAAAATGAAAGAGCAAGGGAGAACCGCATTGCCAACTCACCCAAGTAAACTGGCACCACCACGAGTGAACCGTTGCCGAATCAACCAATTCATGAACAACAGGAAAAAGAAAAACGCAAGCAACTTCAGCTTCATACAAGCTTGAATCTGAAACAAAGAAGGGAACACAACGTAACTGAAACCGAACCTTGCTTTCCTTTCTTATTCTGATTTTGGTTCCATGTACTTTTATCCCAAAGATGCGCTTCATAACGACCAGTCCATCTATGCCTAATAACCATAAACAATTCCCGAAATTCAGCAAGCAACAATCGAGCACAAATTTCATTTAATTTAATTTTTCATTTCATTTCATTTCACTAACTAACTAACTACCTAGTAACACCGCGGTATATGGAACTGCGTTTGCCGGCAGCACATGGAGGCATTTTGCTTATGCGCTCTTTGGCAGTGCAACCTCTCTCTTTCTTCGCTTTCTTCAATCCTCTGTACAGTAACATCTGGTCGCTCGCCACCGCCACTTCCGACGTCTCCGCCGACTTGCCGGGATCGGAGGAAGACGAAGCCATGTTGCAATCAAACCCTAACCCTAACCTTAGAGAGAGAAAAATCTATATATAGAGAGAGAGATGAGTTCCGTTACTTGAGTGTTTGTATGTGTGTGCGTTTGGAAGTTACGAAGATGGGTGGTTTGGTTGGAGTGAGTGAGTGAGGGAGGAAAAAACTACAAAGGAGGAAGGAGGGGTTATCAGTGGAGTTACGGAAATGCCCTTTCACGGTTTTGAAATGACCGATGTGTGAATTGCTCCTGTTGAGCGATGTAACGGCTAGGACGAGACGAGGGTAACCAGGTCATTTTGTATATAATGTATGACAATTGTGCATGTTGGGTGCCACTTGTTGTCTGGTGTTGGTTCCACGGTGCTACAACCTGCTCCTCACCCACCGCTAATGATTATTTATTTTTAAATAATATTTTAGAAAGTGAAAATATATTTCCTTATGAATTATAGTAATATAGACTCAGTTGAAGGGATAAAGGCGAGTGATATGCGAATAGTTAGATTGATCATAACCTCCTTGAGATTAAGAAGGGCTTGTTTGTATTAAAAGTACACTGAAAAAGGTTGTCATTACGAGGCAAACTAGTCATTTCCATCCTTTGGAGTAGCAACTTGACTAATGGCTCACAATATTTTGATATGAATGCATGGCATGGCAACAACATTTTGTTGCAAAGGTGCAAAGTTTTGAAGGAACCCACACTTGTAGGTAGGGATGAATATAAGTTAGATTAGATTTTGTATAAATAAGTCTGATTTATTTAATAATTTTAAAATATAAGTTTAACCTATTATTTGTTATAATTTTTTTATTGAGTTTAACTATTTTAAAAGTCTGACTCAGTCTATTAATCTGTTTAACGGTTTTCTTTATATTGATACATTCAATAGGTGATTAAATTTTCTTATGAATAAGTTATTAAATTATATAAATAGATATAATTTTTTAAAATTTATAAAACTTATATCTAAATAAATTATTAGAGAATATATAATAAATACTATCTTCAACTCTAACAAAAAGAATTAAAGTTTTTAATTTAAATTTTTATTATTTTAAATTTTAATTGATTTAATATATTGTTATATTAAAAATTTTATATAAAATTATTTAATATATTATTATAAATTTTAAATAGACCATTCTAATAAATTTAATAGACTTTTTTTTTAATTTCAAGCTTGACTTATTTAATTAATTAAGTTTTTTAAAAGTTTAAATTAAATTTATTAATTAAATAGATTAAGCCGAGTTAAACTTTAAAAAAATTAGGTTGTCGAACGGCCTAACCTATTTTCATCCCTCCTTATAGTGATATTTATTTTTTAAGACAAACTTTAGCATATTAATTTTATGTTATTTACTCGTTAAAATTTAAAATTTAAAATTTATTGTAATAATATATTTACATTTAATCAACTTTCACTTATTATTTAAAAAGAAAATCATACAGCAGAGATGTTTTTCTTTTGCTTTACATTTTGTAAGTAAAATTAACTAAAAATAAATGTGAATTATCTCTTATTATAATACATTTTTATTTATATATTTATTAATTTTATTTCTATATTTTGGAAACTAAAATTGTTCTTTAATTTTTTATTTTTTTTAGAAATTTTTAATTTTTTATGAGTACTTATTTTTGTATTTATAAAAATTATCTTTATTTTTTTAAAATTTAAATTTATTTTTAAGACTCTCATCGCTTAAATTTATAATTATTTATATATCAACTATTGATATTTAATTACAAAGTTTTTAAAATAAAATATATTTTAAAATTATTTGATTTTATTAATTATAACATTAAATTAAAATATTTTTTAAAAATATTTTTTTAAATATAAAATTTTATTCGTACATATATATATATATAATACATCTATGTTGTACAGGTTACTAAACTAACATTATTATAAATTATTAAAATAAAATTTTAATCTACGTTAAAGAACGATACTTAAAGTACTTATACTCTTAAGTTTGGTCTTTACCTTTTAAGTTACATAATTTAAAGAATTTTTTTAATTCCTAAGAGTTGAATTAAATATATATATATATATATAATAAATTTTATTAAAATAGAATATATTTATTATATTAAAATTTTAAAAGTATAATAAGTATATTTAATAGAAAATTATTATTATTAATTTTTAAATTTAGTTCTAAATGCTGAAGCAAATAGTTTTACATTTTAATCATATAATTTTTAATTATTTGTGCAGTTGTAATGTTAAGGATATTCATTTACAGGTCAAAATTATTCACTTAAAAGGATTTATTTAAGGTAGCTCTAGCCACGCACTTTCGAGGAAGTTCCTGATATTCCTTTGGCTTACTTTTAAAAAAATAAATGTTAATGAAAAAAAATACACAAATTTAATAATGCAAACAAATGTACTAAGATGTTAAAAAAATAAACAGCTTTATTCTTCACTTTTAAAAACTAACAAAAATTATAAATGTTATTCAGAGAATTGTTGTTCATCTCTTATAATTTGACGTAAGGATGTTCATAAATCCATTCGATCTAATGTATAGTGTAAAAATTAAATTAAAAATTTTAAAATAAACAAATCAAAAAGAAAATTTAAAGTTTTTTATTGATTTATATCATATTTTGAAATTAAATTTAAAAATCATGCCATGTAATATAAGCCAAATATATTTGTATATTTTCCATACTTGTAAATATTTATAAAATTTTATTCATTTACCAAATTTTGTCTTCTTCTCTAAATTATATGTTAGTATTTGAATATATTTATAAGATTATTAGTTTTGGATGAATTTATTTATTTTTGTTGAATATCACATTTTCTTTTATTATATAATTTTTATATTAAAATTAGTTTTAATAAAAATGTAAAAGGAGCCACGAAAACTGATTTAATGTCATCTAATAAAATAAAAGGAAAATCTTTATATAATTCAAATCGCTTTTGATCTGATTGGATCGGATTTGTTTTCCCTTAAAACCATTTAAATCGAATTTCAATCTAATATATGAGTTTGTGAGTTTTTAAATGATATAATTGGAAAAATCAGACCGCTGAGACATGAAGACCCGTTTGATCAGAAATTTCAGAGAATGATTCTGTTTTATTATTGTGTTGACCACTTTGGTGAACCAATTGAGAGAGGTCCTAAATCTTCAAGATGCTATATGATTGCATGCAAAACTTTAGCTAAAGGTTTGATGTAACGGTCAGTTAAAAAAAAAATCCAGAACTTTCATGGTGACTTTATTCTCTTCATCTGTCAAGTTGTTACAACTTCCGAGCAAGTGTTTTACAGACACCTTCGCACAAGGGACAAGGAAGTAAAATAGCTAACATGACTAAATTATTCGACCGACTTTTTTTTTTTTTAAACGGTTTGTTAACTTTAATATTTAGAATTTAATTTAAGCATTTAAAAATACAAACTTTTATTAGAAAATGGAAATATTAACGTTAAAATGTAAAAATATTTTTTTTATTAAAAATATTATTTTTATAAGCTGAAGTTAATAAAACTGTTTTTTAATTACAAATTTGTAATACTATCAGAGATGAAAATTTGAACCCATAGCATCACTTTGAATTGATCTAATCCAAAACTTTGGGCAGAACCCCACCAAAAAGGTAGCTTTTTTCTCATGCAAATCATTGTTACCGTGGTAAGAATCAACAAAACTTAGGTACTCTCCTGTAAGAATCTTTTTTTTGCCATTTTTCAATAAAAATTATAGCTTTAAAAGTTGAACTACCCGGTGAACGGGTCAGGGTAATGATTCCAATAACTGAATTAATAGAACAAAATTGACCAAAAACTATTCAAATCGTTCAATAACAAACCAATCAGTCAAAAGACTCAACTAAATATAAACTGATGTTATTAAATGATGCATAAATAATCATAGTAATTTTTCTTTTGTTTGTTTGTTTTTTTTTTGCTTTCATCTATAGAAAAAATGGTATATTTTTAAAAAAAAAAATTTTAATTCTATTTTTTAAAATAAAGACTCGTAAAATGTATAAATTTTTATAGATGTTCTAACTTAGTAGGTATTCCAACTTCCATCTTGGTTCGACGAGTGTAATGATTCAATTATGAATGACAGAAATCGTAACAAGAAGTAAGACTTTCTCTCACAACTCACTCAACTTCAATTAATGATTCAATTATTCAAAATGTATAAGAGGGTCTCTTTTATAACTCTTGTGTGACGGTTTCACAACCAATTTTTCGTTATTCTTATTCTTTTTCTAAAATAGCCTTCCTTTCTATCATGACAACTAACTTTGGGCCAAAAATAGGAATCCTATTTATTACCAGAAGACCCTTTTAGTTTTACTTATTACATTTGTCCCCCCTTCAAATAAGGACTTGACCTCAAGTCCGTGTAGTAATCCAAGCAAAATTAGGAAACTGCTGCAGCATTTTATACAGCTCTTTCCATTCAGCATCTTCAGGATTCGTGTGAGTCCATTGCACCAGCACTTCAGTTATTGCTCCACCTCCTATCCAAAACAGCCAAAGGTTGCAGCTGGAATTCTCCTTCTTCATCATATAGAGGAAGTTCTTGTGACACTGGATGCTCTCCATGGTGTTTCTTCAACAAAGACACATGAAACACATCATGGATTTTACTCCCAACAGGTAATTCTAACTTGTATGCAACCTGACCAATACGTTCTAGTATTTTGAAAGGACCATAAAATCTGGCTGTCAGTTTATGAAAATGAGTATTTGTAACACTCTGCTGTTTGTAAGGTTGTAATTTTAGATAAATCCAATCTCCCTGCTTAAATTCCCTATCAATTCTTTTCTTATCTGCGTAACCTTTCATTCTTTCTTGTGCTTTAAACAAGTTTGCTTACAATGTCTTGGTTATCTGTTCACTTGTTTTCAGAATGTATTCTACTGTCTCTATATTGCTGTCATCACTTATTATGACTGAAGGCATTGTTGGAGGGTATCCATATAGGGCTTCAAATGGTGTGAGCTTAATTGCAGTGTGGAACTTCGTATTGTACCATAATTCTACTGATGCTAAATGTTCGGACCACCTCTTTAGAACTTCTCCAGTAACACATCTCAGATAAGCTTCCAAGGCTTTATTGATTGCCTCTGTTTGTCCATCCATTTGAGGATGAAATGCAGTTGATTTCAGCAACTTCACTTGATTCTTTTTCATCGGCTCTGTCCAAAATTTACTCATAAAGATGCTATCCCTATCAGATATGATTTCATCTGGCCATCCATGTAGTTTTATAACATTTTCATAGAAAACTTGGCTCACTTTAGTTGCTCCAAAAGGTTGAGCCAGTGCTACAAAGTGTGCATACTTTGTGTACTGGTCACAAACTGCAAAAATAACTGAATGGCCATTAGACTTCGGTAGACCAGTGATAAAATCCATTGAAATAGATTTCCAAGCTCTATCAGGGATGTTTAAAGGGTGTAATAAGCCAGTAGGTGCCTGTAAGAGTGGTTTATTTTTCTGACAAGACACTTATTCTTGAACCCATCTCTTTACATCTTTTTGCAATCCTTTCCAATAAAAATGCTCCTTGATTCTTTTGTAAGTCAGATCATCACCTGAGTGTCCTCCCACTTCTGTATTGTGAAAATGCTGCAGGATTTGTCTTCTGATTGCAGGATCAGTCCCTATCACCATCTTGCCTCTTCTCCTTAGTATGCTGCCATCAAAAGAATACTGCTTGTAAGGAGCTTGAGTTAGTCTCATCTTATCCACCACTTTTCTAAGCTTGTTATCATTCTTCCAAGAATCCTTTGCCTAACTAACCAGTTGAGAAGTTACTTTGTATATGGCTGCAATGCTCCCCTTAGGTTGCTTCCTGGATAAAGCATAAGCTACTATATTCTCTTTGCCTTTCTTATATTCGATGCTGAAATACAGTCCCATCAACTTTTCTAGTCCCCAATTTTGGATTAATGTTGTAGGTGGTTGTTCCAATATATGCTTCAATGCTTTCTAATCTGTTTTGATTACAAAATGTTGACCCAGAAAGTAGTGTTGCCATTTTTTTTACCGCAAACAGGATTGCATAAAACTCCTTTTCATATGCTGACAGCAATTGATACTTTGGTCCTATAGCCTTGCTTATGTAAGCAATAGGGTGATCATGTTTAAGAAGCACTGCTCCAATTCCCACACCTGAGGCATCAGTCTCTATTGTGAAGGTTTGATCAAAATCAGGTAAAGACAAGACTGGTGCTAATGTTAAAGCTGATTTTAACCTGTTGAAAGCTTCACCAGCTGTTGTTGTCCACTTAAATTCTACATCCTTCTGAAGCAACATTGTTAGGGGCTGAGCTATTTTTCCATAATTGTGGATGAACCTTTTGTAGTAACCAGAGAGACCTAGAAACCCTCTTAATTCTTTTACTGAACCAGGTGTAGGCCATTCTTTTATTGTTGTAACTTTGTCTGGATCAGGTTGTACTCCCTGAACTGAGATCAAATGTCCCAAGTAGTCTATCTTTGTTTGTCCAAAGCTGCACTTCTTAAAGTTTAGAGCCAGACTATTTTCCTGTAATATCTGTAAAGTAGTATTCAATCAAGCTAAGTGTTCTGACCATGTCTTGGAATAAACCAGGATATCATCAAAAAATACCAAAATAAATTTTTGTAGGTACTCTCTGAAAAGATTATTCATTAAATTCTGAAAGGTGGCAGGAGCATTGCATAAACCAAATGGTAAAACCACCCATTCATAATGTCCATTGTGTGTTCTGAAAGCTGTTTTGTATATGTCTTCCTCAGCCATTCTCACCTGATTTTATCCACTTCTGAGATCCAGCTTTGAAAAGTATCTAGCCCCATGTAATTCATCTAATAAATCCTCAATCAAAGGCATTGGAAACTTATTTTTGATTGTAATTGCATTTAGTTTCCTAAAATCTGTGCAGTACCTCCAAGAACCATCTTTTTTCTTAACCAAAACCAGTGGTGAAGCATAACAACTTCCACTTTCTCTTATGAATCTCGTGTGCAACAAAACTTTCACCTGCCTTTCAATCTCTTCTTTTTGTGCATGTGGATATCTATATGGTTTTAAACAAAAAAGGTGTATCACTGAGCAAGGATATTTTATGATCATACCTTCTCTTGAAGGGTAATGTTGTAGGTTCCAAGAACAAGTGCTAATAACCATTCAGAAGTTGCTGCAACTCCGTTTGTTGATATGCTGTCAGTACCATTGTATCGATGCACGACTCACATTGTAACAAACTGGTCCTTGCACAGCAAGTAATAATGCTTGACACTGAGCTCTTTTCAATTTACCTGTACATTCACCAATATCCACGACTGGTGATTCCTCTTGTAAATACACTTCTTTCCCTTGATGCTCAAACTTCATTGTTAGTTTGGCACAATTCTAGCATATTTCTCCCAGAGTTTTAAACCACTGTATCCCAAGTATCACTCCAAAGCTTCCACTAGGTAATACCAAAAAGTCTGCCTGAAACCTATGATCACCAAACCTCCATTTCACTTGACTGCATTTTCTTGTAATCATCAGTTGCTTATCCAATGCTACCATCACAGGGAAGTTCTTGACACTTTGAGCCTTCAATCCCAATGTCTTGACCCAATTGAAACTGATAAAATTGTGTGTGTTCCCAGTATCCATTAGGAATGGTACTGCTTGTTTCTTAATGAAGCCCTTCATTTGAAGAGTATTACCCCCAGCTATTCCTTATAACGCATTCAGTGAAATGTGGACATTAGCATCTTGAATTATAGCTAAACTATGTTCAACCAGTTCTGTGACATGATCTCCTTCCAATTCAGATTGATCCTCCTCTATCTCTTGATCTTGGGCACTAAAGATGGCATTTAATTTTCCCCACACTTTACATCGTTGCCTATGATCCCTCTCCCATTTTTTACCACAAAATCGACACAAACCCTTAGAAATTCTATCACTTGCTTGCTTTCTAGATAAAGAATTATTAACAGTTATATTTGATTCAGTTCCATTTGTTGCTGAAACTGCACTTTGTGGCTGAGATTGTTGGAGGGTTGTTATTGGATGATTTCTGACTGGCTGATATTGGTTTGACCAAGAACGGCTAAATGTGTTAGATGGGGAAGCAAAAATCGTCTTTCTTGGAGAAAACTTCTTCGCCATTTCTTGAAGCACCTCATCTTGCAATCTTGTGATCCTAATTGTCTCTTGTAGAGTTAAGGGTCTATGCCTACGCACAAATTTTTCCAACTCAATGTTCAATCCCAGTAAGAAGAAGCTCAAAGCTAATTCTTCAGATATTGATACACAAGCCAACAAGGTATCATATTTTTCAAGATATTCCAACAAAAGACCTTCTTGTTTCAACCTTGCTATTTCCGCAATAGGATCATCAAACGCACCCGTGTCAAACCTACCTCCAGTATCTTGGAGAATTTGTTGCCATTTTTTGTCTTTGTTCTTGAGATTCTTCATGTAATGCCTTGCCATGCAAAGGCTTTTCCATCCACTGACAGAAGTAATAAACGACTTCTCTGTTCTTCAGGCGTACCTTCAATTTCGAAAAATTGTTCTGCCTTTGCTTTCCATTCGCGAAAATTGGTCCCATCAAATGTTGGAAATGGAATTTGGACCCGTTCAATGATTGAAGGAGTCGTGTCTAGGTTGTGGCTGTAAACGACTTCATCTTCTTCCGAATTGTCTGTTCGTCGCACACGTAATGCCGCCATTGATGCCACCAAACCCTCAATCGTCTTCTGCATTGTCTCCAATGATCGTTGCATTGATTCTTGTTGATCAGCGAGGTTCTTTTCGTAAGAATCCATTCTTGTTTCTAATTCTTTGTTGGTCACCATCGTTCCTAGCTAGCTGATACCAAATGTAATGATTCAATTATGAATGATAGAAACCGTAACAAGGAGTAAGACTTTCTTTCACAACTCACTCTCTGCACTCAAGCAAAAAGAGGAGAAAACTTCAATTAATGATTCAATTATTCATCATGTACAAGAGGATTTCTTTTATAACTCTTGTGTGGTGGTTTCACAACCAATTTTCTGCCATTCTTATTCTTTTTCTAAAATAACCTTCCTTTCTACCCTAACAACTAACTTTGGACCAAAAATAGGAATCCTATTTATTACCATAAGACCCTTTTAGTTTCACTTATTACAACAAGCTTGAATTGAAACCGTATTTTATAAATTTATTCTTCAAACACTTACTGCTCGCTAAACTAATAATCATAAAAACATGTCATGAGATATCTTATTAAAAATAAACAAATAATGTGAGCATAAGCAATTAAGAATCACCATCAATATTATAGCAAAAAATGATTACTCTCGAATAACTACTTTAAAAAATATGATCTCGACGTTGGTTTTAAAAATTCATGTCCAAGAAATATAAGCTACCAAAAAAATGATACTAATATGCAAAATATAAAACCACGTGATATACCCAAAAAATAAGAAATACCTGAGGCTTGCCCAAAGATGCCGAGGCCTCACTTTTGTTGAAATTTGAAGGGAAACTATTAGATAAGAATTACCAAACTGGCTATTTTGATAGCTAAAAAGTTTGTGTAAGATATTTAAAGCTAAAATAATGATGGCATGACCTGATCGGGTTATATATATATATTGTTTATTTTACATCCCAATTGGGAATACATTTACAATTTGAACTTTACTAATTACACAGGAAGGAAACATGAGATTATTTACACAATTGCTAGTGTAACGAAAAAAAAAAATCTTATACAGGAATCGCGGATGATTTCATAGGTAATTTGAGGTGTAACTTCTACTTGACAAAGTCTCAGACGCGTAGCTCCCACAGCACTTTGGAACTGCGTGTTAAAACTTGCCCAAAAAGGCCATTCAATGATAACAGCTAACTAAGAACACGAGATTCGCATGGTTCCCCTGCAGAAATTTGATCCCCAGATTTTCTTTTCAAGGATTCTGTACAAGTTTATGACCAAGACGAAAGTAAGGTCTGAGTAAATCACGACAATACACAAACAATAATGGAGTAAAGCAGCAGGAGCACATAGATGAAAGACGAACAATCATGACTAGCTATAAGTTGATAACAAGATTGAGACAGAACACATCAGGGGCTCGTATAAACAATCGTACCAACAAAAGCATGCTAAAAAATGTGTTGTTCACTAGTAATAAAACAAACCACTTTCGGAAAATTGTTGTCAAGCATCTACACTTGAATGATACATAACTCTTCAAATGAGAAAAGTGCATTAAAAGAATGAAAGTACATGCATATGATTATATTTACATGAATATACATACCAAGTCTTTCTTTTATGACAGCAGCATTTTCTGCCCCACAGCATTTTTGTGAAAAGGAGGATATATCATGATACATTTCATTTGATGGATGAATTCCTGCATCCTCCATCCATTGCAGGACCTGCATCAAAATTTGCTTGATTTTCCAGATGTGGTTCATTATAATGTGAATTATTCAAAATGAAACTAAACATGACTGAATATCTGATATATACAATCTTTTGTTGCTGAGTGGTCATCATTGATCATACACAAAATGTATCCCACCAAAGTCACAAACTTACAATCTGTATATACCTTATCGTCATTAAATCATATGTGAGGGAGAGAGCTTACCTCCAAATATTTCCTCCAATTTCCAGACGATAAAAGGTTCTTCAATAAGATAGAATAAGTATTGAAGTTGACGTCAGCACCCGAAGCCAACATTTTAAAGAATAACTGCACACATGAAATATAAGATAATAAGGAAGCAAGTGGGAAATCATATTTGATGTGTTTGGTGACATTAATTTATCATAAATACTTAGGAGAAATTTGAATTACCTTCAACATAGTTTCAATCTTTCCACTTTTTCCTAAAGAATGCAGGAACAAATTCAAACATCCAGAAGAAATTGCAGGAAGTGAGGGCTCTATGTGCTTGATCATATCAACAGATGTTCTCCAATCTTGTAATCTTACAACAAAAGACGCATTCAGTTTGACAGGAATATAATTGTAAAATACAGTAACTGAAGAAAAAAATGACATGCTGTAAAATATTGTTATCAAATCAAAGCAGTTTGAATAATAAGTATCATCTATCCCTTGTTTTTTTACCCACTCTTCTAATTAAAGCTTCCAAGCTTTTGAGTTAAAAAGTATCAAAAGCGTCAAATGTCATAAAACATTCTAGAAACTAAGGGTTTCATCATAAGACCATAGTATTCTACTTCAAGTTCCACCAATGATATAATTACCAAATGACAAATCTTAACATAATGTAATTGTGAAGAAATATATTTTCTTCTGAACAATAATAACATTAATGTATGTCAAATGGTGGGCAAAAAGAAATTTCATTGAGTTGTGTTGTGTTGGAAGATCAAAGCCCTTCTACAGTGTAAACACCCATCAAAGTGGCAAGGAATGAAACTTCTAATAATAACAAGTATCAGTCATAAAAATTTATATCAGGTGGAAAATGTGCCATGGTGTCTTGATCAGGAAGATACTAAGCAAATTTCAGCCTAAATTAGCTTAGCTTTGACTAACAGAGGAAGCACTATGGTAAGGACTAAGGAGGACATTTTTTGGAGTTTCAAGAAAGCGAACAAAAATGAAGAGGGGAAAAGATAAGTTATTGTGTAACTAAAATGCTTTTTCTACTAATATATAGAAATAAATTTGAACTTACAAGCTACAGGCAGATACCATTTCAAAAAATATGGTATCACTGAAAGGAATTTCTTTTTCTCTCATACTTTCTGCAAGACTAAGGACGCGTCCTGGTTGGCCACCTTTATTAAAAGCTCTCATTACAGCTGCACATGCAATGGTATCTAGCTTGGTGCCATTTGCTTCCATTTCTTCAAAGAGTGCATATGCTTTCTCCCAATTCTCTGATCATAAAATTTTGTTATCTACGTATATATTTCAAAATACCATTCTAATATTTCAGTGGTTTAAAATTTATTTTACCAGCTACATTGTATGCATCAAGCATTGCAGTATATGTAACCACATCAGGGTAGCAACCAGATGATTTCATCAAATTGAATGTAGATTCTGCTTCTGTGATTTGTCCCTAAAACATTATCACAGAAAAACAAAAATGTGAAGGAAAAGGAACAGTCTTAAATTTCATGGATTCAGCATTGAGGAATCATATCCAAAGTACTAACCTGTTTGCTATAGGCACATAGGACAGATGAGTAGACCTCTTTTGACAAAGGAAGTTTTAGATGCATCATTTCTTCTATAAAAGATTGGGCTTCACCATATTTTGACATCTTACAACAACCACTTATCAACACAGTGTAGGTAACAGAATCAGGTTTTATTTTTTTCTTTCTCATAGATCTATACAATGCTATAGCTTTGTCATATTCCCCTACATTCATATAACTTCCTATAGCTGAATTGTATGCAACTGTGTTCAACTCAATGCCTCGCATCTTAGCTGCAGTTAGCACTGTATCAACCTTCACCTTCCGACTGCATCGACCACAGGCAGCCAAGAGTGTGCATATTGAGACAACGTTTGGCTCAATTCCATCTTGTTCCATTTCCCGCAATATTTCAATTGCTTCTGCCAGCAAACCATTAGATCCATAGGCATCAATCAGCGCATTGTAGCTGACAAGGTTTGGCTTCAACTTGTTTACCTTTATCTTTTCAAATACTTCCCTTGCTTTTAGGGGCTTTTGTGATCTTCCATAAGCATTAAGCAGAGATGTATATGATACAATATCTGGGCGTAAACCATTTTGTTTTATCTCGTGGAAAACCAAAAGTGCCTTATTGTCCATCCCTTGAGCAGCATATGCACCTATTAGTGCATTATATGAGACTATATTTGGCTTCAGCCCTTCTGCAAGCATCATATTGAATGCAGCCTCACAATTTTCAACTTGCCCGCACATAGAATATAAGTTAATGATACTAGTGAACGTTACAACATCAGGGTGACATTCTGACCTCTTTTCTCTCATGGAATTAAAAATATCAATGGCTTTGTCATATTGTCGAAGCTTCACCAGACAATGGATAATGATATTAAGTGTAGTTGTGTCAGGACGAATATGAGTTCCCTTCATTAGTTCAAAATAAGACAGAGCTTTTGAATACTGAGCCCCACTTTTAAATGCAGATAACATAATATTGTGAGTAACAAGATCAGGTCCAACTCCATTGTCTGTCATTTTCTTGCAAACATTAAGTGCTTCTTTCCAATTTCCACTAGATCCACAAGCATTTATCATGTTGTTATAAGTTGACCGACTTGGTGGAATCTGCATCAGTATTTTGGTGTCACAAACAGAACATATAGTTAAGACTTACGATACCAAGTACAGAAGAGCTCATTTTTAAATTCCCAGTTCACAACAGCATAGTATTGGAAGAAAATTGAATAAAAATCGGGCAAAGTCACATATTTCATTAGTAGGATTAATTACTAATTTCGCATACACTGACTTCATGACCGGCTAGTGTAGTGTGCTGCACTGGCAACTATATGATTCATAGAACAAATCAACAATGACATAAATGAAACCAATATGGTTCCCACTTCCCAGCATAGGGGAAGGGAAAGATCTTTTCCACTATCAAATGGATCATATTTAATTTATATGTATCGAATAATGGAATCTCAAATCAGCAATCTAATGGGCAATCCACATGGATCCTTGTTAAAACATTAAGAACATGGATTACACAAGGAATGAATCATCACAAACTGGACCCATAAAAAAATAGGACCTATTCATGCGTTATAAGTGACTATAAAACAATATGGCAAAGTAGTAAAACACTTATACAATATACTCTCTCTATCCCTTCATTAAATATGCTTTGTCTACAATCACTACACTGCCTAAGGAAAATAAGCATGAATACACACCACAGAATATATAACATGTGAAAGCCAAACGTTTCATGGGCCAACTACAATCAAACGCCATAATAGAAAAAAGAAACAGAAACAAAGAAACGAAGTTGATCATCAAATCAAGTCAAACTAATTAAAGATCAAGTAGGGAAGAAAAATACAAAGTACACACAGCTGCACGCAGCATGTCATCCATGATATTGATAGCCCAACGCCACTGTCCAGCTCTACCGTGCGCATTAATAAGAGCATTGTAAGTCTCAACATCAGGTTTACACCTACAAACCCCAACACACAACAACAATAACAAAAAAACTTGATACATTTCACTGAACAATTCAACCTTCACAAAACCAAAGCCATTTCGTACTATACCTCCATTCTTGCATCTCGAAAAACAATCCACGCGCCTGGTCTGTTCGATTGTGCCTAGCGTGCAACCTAATCATCATGTTGTAAATATCAGTGCGAGCACAGTAATTCCTCTGGTTCTTCATCCACTGGAACACAGCGTTACAGTGTTCAATAGTCCCTCTCTGTGTCAACTCCTACCAAATCGAAAATGAAAACGCAATGCAATTCAAATTAGATTAAAACTTGAAAGCTTAAAACTCGTTCATCGCGAAGAGAAACGAGAATTAGAATACCTTGATGAGAAAGGGGAAATTCTTGCGTGCGAAGCGACCTATCCAGCGATTGAGGACACCCTCAACGTCGTCGCGGAGAGAGAGGGAGAGAACCACGTCGGCAACCTTGGACACTGTCCAATCCTTCTGGAAGCGGTTTCCGGCGACTCGGAGGCGGTATCTGGCGCGGATGTCGTCTTTGCGGAGGCCGGCGACTTTGGTGGAGACTTCATGCTGTCCTCTGTCGTAGTCAACGAAGCCTTGCTTCGTTTCCTTGAATGCCGACTCATTCTTGTTCTTTTTGCATGTTATCAGAATTCCCCGGCGAGTCGACTCGGTGGTGCCGGCGAATTGGAGACAGTGAGTTGCGGTGCTGGCCATCGAGACTGAGGGGAGTGCACGTGGTTGAAGAATAAGGATAATTAACCACGCTTACGGATATGAGATATTTTATTTATTTATTACTATTATGAGAAACTGGGCTCAGAATTATAATTGGGCTCCTTTTAGTTTGTCAACGGCTCATGAATTGTCCGTTTTGTTACATTTTGCAAATTAAATTGGGCTCCCTTTGGACCATCAAAAACAATTGGGCTACTTTAAATTTAATAATAAAATTTACTCCCCTCCAAAAACATAAGAGCAACTTTAGTAGTGAAACTTAAATAGGTTCTTAAATTTATTTTATGTAGATCCTACAATTGCTTTAGTAATAGAATTAAAGTTTGAGTTTTTAGATTACTTTTTATAGGTCCCATTAAAATTATTATATTATTTGTTTAAAATTAAATTAACAAATTTAGTTAAAAAGGAATGTTTTAAAAAATTATTTATTGTTGGAATAGTGCGGTTCTACTTTGTTCTTAGTTAAGCATTGTTCTTCCGGCATGGAATACTCTTCCTTGTGATTATTGATGATTTTTGTGAAGAACTAATTTTAAATTCAAGAACTATTTTTAAGAACTACCAATAAAAGTGCTTAAGTCAAGGATTTATGACTTAACTCTTTAAACTTAGACTAAGGCATATGGACTAAATAAGTTAATTTGAGATTTTTCTAAAAGAAAATTGTCCATTTGAAAACATTATATTTTAGACTATCTGAAACACGAACTCAAAATTTCAGTCATCCATTCAACGGCTTTGATTTATTGATTAAATTGACTTTAACTTTTTTTCAAAATGGGTTTTATTTTGAAAGCTTTTTTGATGTAATAGATTAACCTAAATATAAATAAATTATAATGATATTATTATTGCATTCAAATTTTAGTATAATATTTTGATATTGTATAATTAAAAGTTCATACGAAAATTTTATCATAAAATAAGCTTTTAAATAGACTTTTATGTCACAGCATACTTTTAAAAAGATTAAAGTATGTATTAATAAAAAAAAATATATCAATTAAATATATTAAGTAGTCTTAACCTTAAATATTTGATCTAAATTAAGTTTGATAAAACATCATATAGTAAAACACATATTGGAAATGATATTTTAAAACTCAATATCACCGTGAAAATTAATGACATAATTTAAGAAACAATAACGCAGTATAGATAAGTTTTTAGACAAGTTCTTACATCTTATCATAAATTTTTTTATATAAATTAAAAACAACAAATTTTTTCAAAATTTAAAAAATTTGAATAAGAACTTAAAAAATAAAAAAAATAAATTTAACTTATAAAAAATTTGGTTTAATTTATTACTAAATTTTTTACTTAATTATGTATAAATATTTATTAAAAAAATTATTTAAACTGGCCCAATATTGTATGTTTGGAATTTCTTGCCAAGCTTGGTGACAGAGTACTCCTCATGATGAAGCATAAAGTATAGTAAGTACATATATATAAGAATGTCTTTTAATCTCCCAAAAGGAAATATCAAGACAGTAAAGTAGCAACACTTGTAAGAGTTGGAAATTTTTATATATTTTCTTATAAAAATTAATCAACAATCATAAGGATGATGATGATCATCATGAATGACGAATTTCACTGCCCACGTAGCCTATCCTTGGTCTTTCTTTATATTTTGTAAGCTTATTCTCCCACATGGCTGTGGATCGCTTTCTCGCAAGTAAGAACGAGAGAACGGATAACATTGCATTGATCAAGGATGCCAACTCAAGGACCCACCAAAAAAAGAACGATAAAATGGAATAAAGGTGGATACTACATTTTGCAATTGAAAAAAGGTGATTACTGCACTGAGACCATTTTTATTTGCTAGGAGTATTTTGACCAAATAATTGTACAAAAAGAAAAAAATTGAAAATTTTCACTCACTGTTGAAGGAAAAGAGAAACACTTGGAGGGGAACAAAGAAAAAGAGCACTGGCAAATCGCCCTAAGATTATAGCCCTCAAACGTGCTTAAATATAATATAACACCTTTCCACATTCTCAAGTAATGGTTTATAATTTTCCTCTAAGAAGTGCTTATTTGGTCGGTTTCAAACCCACATGAGTGACCAATTTGACTTAGTGGCCACATAAACGGCGCAAACAGATCATCAAATTGTGCAAATGCTTTGCACGTCACAAACACATTCAGCACAAAGTGCACCAAAAATTTTCAATTAGAGGATAGAGGAAGGAACAGAAAGTTATGGCAATTAGCTGTCAACTGGTTAAAATAACCTAAGAGGTTGAAAATTTCTTGTTGGTGAAGGTTGTCAATGAAGCAGCCATTGGATGCACATGGCCACAAATTTTAGTTACTACAACCCATAAGATTCCTTTTTTATGTTTTACTTCACTTTACAATTCACGCCTCGTTCTAATCCGAATGTTGATAATCATTGATTTTTTTTATCTCACGACCTGATATGATATACTTATTATAGTTACTTATTAGAAAAATGATTTTATGCAAGTTATTTGGAGGAATTTTTAATTTGCCCCACTAATTTTATTCAATTCTCTATTGAACAGTTACAATCAATTTGGCCATCGTTATTGAATTAGAAGTATTTTTTTATTTCAATCATTTTTTATAAAAGAAAATATCAAATAACTTATTAAATTAATTTTTCAGATTGAATATATTATATAATTATTTTTTATATTTTTAATTTTTATGTTGATTTTTAACTTTATTAAATAACACTTATTTATTTTTTAAGATAAAATTATAGTAAAAATAAAAATAAAATAAATAAATTTTCTGTAGAGTTAGAGACTAATAATAATTTTAAAACTCATTGTCCATACATTGTGTTGATTGAATTATATACTTTAATTTTTCAGATTTATTTATTCATTTTTAATGTTCTTAACATTTATTTTAACTTTTTAAGACAAAATAATAATAAATTAGAATAAATGTTTTTTTTTAAGAAGTTAGAGACTAATGTTAATTTTAAAATTCATTATCTATACATTGTGTTCATTGAACTTTTTATGTCCTACAGAACATGAAATCATAAATACCTTGGTCAGCTCGACAGGTGTTTCTGTTAGGAATTTTAACACTTATTATTTAAAGTATAATTCCTTCTGAATTTTTTATTTGTCTACTTAAAAAGATTAATATCGATTAAAGGAATGCAGATTGTTAATTTTCCAATGAAATTTTTACTATTATTTCTCTACAATTTACACTACACGTGTCAAATATTTAAATTTAGGTAAAAAGAAAAGAATAATTAAAAAGCTAGTCATTAATGATCTTGAACTTCTAATAAATAGATAAATAAAAAAATTTATTTTAAAAGTGAATAGATATAAAAGATGCAGCAAATCCTTAAATAAACGAATTAATAAACATAGATATAAATATAGATATAGGTATATAACTCAGCTATTCTATCTAGTTCTATCACTTCATAGTTCATCAGTTAAATCTACTGTATCTTTTCTTAGCCTTTTTATCTTGTGCAGGAGGAGAAAAAATTCGTGCAACTTCCTTAACACAATCACTAAGAACAATACCCTTTGATACATACCTTATGAACCTCGACTTGAGTGATTAAATTTAGAATTTGTGTTAACCTAAACTCTTAAAGTTGAGATTGATCTTATGTAAATAAAAAAATTGTATGAAAAAGTACATCATTAATACTAATTTAAGCTGGTTCAACATTCAAGAGCCTTATATGAATAATTAAACTGTTTTGAACCATTTTTAATGAAATTTATCAAATGAAAAAATATATCATGTGTGGACTAAAGATGAACAAATTATAGGGTAGCAGGTTGGTTAAAAGGGAGCAACAAGGCTACAAGTATTGCTTTCCAAAGGAACCACCGACACAGGGACGCAAGCTTGAGTGAATATTTATGAGTAGTACTGTTGCAGAAGAAAGTGTAGAGGACTTGGTTGTCCCTGTTAGCACGTGTGCTTCTCTTCCCGGAACCTTCCAATGGCACCTATTTATGGAACAAAATCCCATGATGCGTAGAGATTTGGGACCCTCCACCTTTCCTACCATATAAGTAACTATACCTCCTAATTCACTCCTTCCCAACCATCCTCGTATAAGCCCACACTAGCAATTAATTACAATCATCATTCATTATAATCTCCTCGATCTAAAAGTACATATTACATTTGTTAATTCAATGTCACACAGTAATATAACATGCAATTGCATCATTAGTAACAGCCATTTTGAAATCTTGCTGCTTTTGTTTTTAGATTAATATTCATATTAAAAGTTCAATTTGAACGAGTGTAGAAAGCTGGAGTCAAAATGTTTATTTATTTCTAGAAAGTACTGTTAAAATGTGATGTTCATTGTATTTTGATACAAGTATAAATTATGTTTATTAATTTAACCAAATATGCTATTAGTATTTATCACATGTCAACAGTGTTGTATATCTAAGAATTCAACGAAAAAAAATGCAGATCTAATGATGATGGAACATGATTATAAAAAAGACACACAGTAGCTGTTTGTATGCATATTGTAATAGAGTTAATGAAATTTTCAAAATAATTTATGTGAAAGTATTTTTGTTATACATGTTAGTAAATCGTCCCATAACCTTAGATGAAGAGATCCCAGACAAAAAAAATCCATGGATGAAGATATGCTTTTGTCGGAGCAAAAATCTGATAATAACTAATTTTTTTAACACAAAAAAAATATGTTTTATTGTTATCTTACCTGAAAAGAACCATCATAATAATAATAATAATAATAATAATAATAATAATAATAATAATAATATCTTAATGTTATATTTAAGTAAAAGATGAAATAAAAATAATAATATAAAAATAGAGTAAAAAATTGTGTTATTTAGATAAAAATAAAAAAATCCCTTATTTTGGCATGAGTAAAAAATAAAAATTTGTTAATAATAATTAAAATAATTTAATAAAAAATTAAAAAAAATTGTTATAGCTTTTTGATAAAATTTATTTTATATTTTTATTATATAAAATTTATCTAATAACAAAATTAAAAAAAAAAAAACTT